GGTCAGTTTGCCTATTTTCCTCTGAAAATCATACGTTATATCGAAGTTTACGCTGTAAAGGTGTACGTTCTAAGCGATACCGGCAAATGGAATAATGCATTAAACAAATTCGGGACATCGAAATTTGAACGTTGTATTGGTGTAAACGTTATAAACGGGGTACGTTGTAACGAGGTTCGACTGTATTAGTAACAGAATTGGAAGTAGATAGGTCCGCTAGTTAAGTATGTGTGCGCTGTTCTGGTTGCTGGCTTTGGTTCATTATTGGTTTCTTTAAATCACATGAAGGTTAAAAACAGAAATGATGTCTTCACACGTACTGCAGCTTCAGGTTTCATTTTGAGTCATTTCGTCTTTTCCGTTGGAGGAGAATTAAGCGCCCCCAATTCTTCCCCTGGGGGATAATGGAAAATTCTTGCAATACCTAAACCAATCATATTAAAACCCCCCCTTTGCTTGTATGCATGCTAATAAGTGATTTTGTGTGCTAAACTCAACTAAATGGTCTCCCTGTCTTACTGTGTAAAGTTGCCGTACTCAAATTTACCCACCATTCACTGTGTGTAAAATGTAACAGGAAGTGCTTTACCTATCTGGCTGGTATACGATTAACCTCTAAAGGTTGAACTTCAAATATAAACCTGATCTTGGAACTTTTATTCTCTTGTTTTAACTCTACTATTCAAGCATTGAGTAGTCTGACATCTCATAAGTAGTAACAATGACAGTATAACATCGAAATGATCCACCAGTAATCTGAATCCTATAAAAAATGTAAAGATTTTTTATAGGCATGTAAAATTATACCTGATTACCTGCTATGAGAAATCAGAACGCTCTGACGTAAACGAAAGGTTTGTCATACATATAATTTTATTAAGTACACTTTATGCTGTTCATTAATGCGGCAAACTGCAAAGGCGTATTGCAGTGATGGAATGTTGGCTATAGAGAGATGGCCGTTCACTCGACCTGATGCAGGAATTATTTTGCTGTTTATTTATCTCTTGCGCCTCCTTGGCTGCTTACTGCCTTCTCAACATGGCCGTGCCACCGATTCGCGTGTTTTTGAAGGCACGCTTACCTCAGTCTCTGTCATCTTGTGCCATAGGGTCTGTGCTGAGCCGCTGTGCTGAGCGCCTGCCGAGGAAGTGATTCAAGTTGCTCTTTCAGCCCCGTTTCTTGTAATTGTCTGGTGTGAGACCACTGTACTTCCTGTTTTGGTCTAAGTAAATAGCATGTAGATGAAAAAGCATGTCATTTACCCTGTTTGTTGTCGTTTTATAAGCAGTGTCCCAGTGGTCTTCTGATGTGTTGTTTATCTCGACAAAAGGTTTGATTAAAGGTTTATGTTAAATCATGTTAATTATTAGAGGGGGATGGAATTGAACCCTGAGCCAATGTCTTTGTAGTCAAATAAGAATCTTTAAAAACAGGAAGTAGTGGCCTGTCTGGACTTGTGATTATTGTATCTTCTTTTGTTTTCTTTCGGTCCCCATTGTTTCATTGTCCGTGGATATAAATCCATCCATTTTCTGACAAGTTGTCCTATTCAATGTCACAAGGGGGTCCAGAGCCTATTTCAGAGGCTGCAGGCGCAAGGCAGGGAACAACCCAGGATGGGGCGCCAACCCATTGCAGGGTGCATGCACACACACACACACACACACACACACCTATGGACAATTTAGTAACTCCAGTTTAGGACTGTGGGGAAACCAGAGTGCCTGGAGAAAGCCCTGTGACGACACGGGGAGAACATGCAAACTCCACAAATATGGAACCCTGCTGGAGACTCGAACCCAGCTCCCACAGGTGTGAGGCGACAGGGCTAACCACTACACTACCATGCATAAATCCCTGCATGGGAAAAAGAGTAGCTTTACCGAACCATAATTAGGGGTTGAGGAACAAAACTAGGTTTGATGGTTTAAGAAGGAGCACTATCTTCCCATTAGAGGAGATATGTTCTGCATCTAAGGTCCATAGTATGTCCCTGTTTCGCCAAATCCCCTTCAAACTCCAACAGCCTCATTGAGGGAATGAAATTAGTTAATGTTAATGTTTAATTAAGTAAAACGTTAGGTACATTTGTTCCAGACAAATATCTACGCTCGAATTCTGACTGTACTGAGTTTCCGTGTTTCCTTTAATGACAGTGTCAATGGTGACGCTCATTCTGCTTCTGCACACTTGTTTTATCGTATAAGTTACCGAGATTTATTTCGTTACCGCATTTATGGTAAGACGCTGAACGATTTTGCTTTGATTTCTGTCCTGTCAAAGTGGAAGTCAGTGAATAATGTAATTGAAGGATACACTTATATACTGTAGCACTTATCAAACACCCAAAGCGCTTCACATAACCAATGGGGAACCACTTCAATCGGCACCACTGTGTACCAATTTCTGTTACGAACCTCAGTCTAGGGTTGGGGCGTAACACCTGGATGATGCAGCAGCAGCCATTCTGCACCAGTACACTCACCACACAGTAGCTAAGGTGGTGAAGGGGCAGGAGAGAATTCACCAATGAGGTACAGGGGATGATTAGGAGGCCGGATTTGATTGGACCACAGTGGGTCATTTTAGCTAGGACATTGGAGTACCACGCCTACTCTTTCAAAAGGTACCCAGGATCTTTTATGACTTCAGAACCTTGGTTTTACATCTCATCTGAAGGGCAGTGCCTTTTTTACAGCACAGTCTCCCCATATATCCAAGAAAACAGTGTTTGGACTTCTGAGAAAAAATTCTTAAGGCTTAATGTTTAATTAATTCTATAAGAATACCCTGATATAAATGTGTAAATGGGTGAGTTTACTAAATGTATAGAATTTGCTTTGCATAACATCAGTGTTGACTTGCCCAGTTTGCTTTTTTGCAGACATGTTGACTGGCTAAGCACTTCAGATGTGTAGCATACATTGCGGACGCAAAATTTTAAAATACTTTTTAATGTTCTCTTTTATTTATTTCCAAGAAGATGGATGAAACCATTTATTATAGTTTATTTGTCATTGAATAGTTTGTCAAATGTCAGTACAAGTTTTCGGGTCAGTACCATAACCTCCTTTATGCTTTTGAGGTACGAGGATTATATTCCATGCTGCCCAGTAGATGGCAGTATTTAATAAACAAATTGAATAATGTTTACCGTCAATTCTCTCTCTTAGGGCTATTGTGTAATATACAAAAAACCTTGAGTGTGTTTCTTTCCAAGTGATGTACATTTGAATGATGGTATGTAACAGAATAATAAACTTTATTGTATCTGTGCTTGGAGGAAGTGCTTGGTGTCTTGAGAAATTCCCATGATTTAAAAGGTAAATATAGACAGAAGTGTGTTTTTTTCAGATGGGTATCAGATGGTCCTTCCTCTTTTAGGCAACTTTCTTTTAAAGGTTTTTGTGTTAGTTGGTTAAGCTTTATTTGCCCTTAGGATCTTTACTAATATTTAATATAAGGCTCAAATGAGGCCATGTGTGGTCTGAGGAATAATGAAATTGTTTTGACTACGAAACAAGATTTGTTTTTTGTGTTCCTTCTGCTTGTCAGTAAAGTGTGCATGGATGTGCATTATCCATGCCCCTTGTTTGTAGCATGCTGTGTTTTTCAGTTTACGAGGTTAAGTCTGTGCTGGAAAAAGTTCAGCCTGGTTCCTGACCTATATAGTCTTCAATTAGAATATAATTCAATGAGTGGTTAATTGTAAAATTGTTGGTTTGTAAGTAATGCTTTGTCTTGTGAAAAACATACCCTCCCCCCACACACAGACACACACACACATACACACACTTACTGAGATAGTTTCAGTTTTGGCATCTTTAAAACAGAGATCCATTTTCTGGTACTGTTTTTATTGTGTGTATTAATATCAGGATTATCTATCATTGCTTAAGTTAGCTAAGGGGGTTGCATGCCCACGACCAGATGGTTGTGGTTTCAAATCCCTCGGTCAGCAAAGTGGTTTCACCATTGGGTCCTTGAGCAAGGCCTCCAACCACAATAGTTACAAGAACTGGGGGGATCTACTTTCTCAACAGTACATTGCTTTGGATAAAGTTGTCAGCTGCATAAAAACATGTTAATAATTAATTTATGAAACATAGTCTGTCCCCTAGATATGTTATTGGGTCTTGGGCTATTTTTTTTTTTTTACTCATTTGCTTCCTGTGGTACAGATACATTTGTATATCTCTGCTTGCCAATATATTTTCCTTTACGGCAGTCCCAATATGGCAGGCATTCTCAAGCATTTTGACCAAAAGTCCGCGTCCGATTTTTATTCTAAGTCAGAGGTCCGGAACTATTTTCAATAACAAAACAGCATTTGATGAACTTTAATCAATTAACTGTGATACAGACATCAATATATTACAAAAATGGCAACTTTTTAATTCTCACTGATTGTTTGGGCTCTCTGTCTTGGGGAGGGGGGATAGGACGAGTTTTGTTTGTGCAAAATTTGGCTGCTCTACATTGTATTCTTGATCTTCAAACCACATTGTACAACCGTTAGGTCCAAGCAAGAAATCTGATTGGATAGGAGGTATTCTGCAAGTGATGTTATGAGTATTAATGCACTCAGAAATTTCGCATCAGATGTATCACTTCACTTTACAGGTGTGTCTAAAAGCCGTTACTTAAATTTAAATGATGCAAAGTAGTTGGAAGCGAGTGAGCTTGTGTTGCGTTGGATTGTTTCTGTTGCTTGGCAATAGTCAAGCAAAGTATTATCTTCAGCACTCAGCGTACACGTGCCTTCTTGGCTATGACCAAATCACTGTCGTGATGTATTGGAGTACAACCTCATTCCTTCTCGTATGTTATTGCTTGATTAAGCCTTTTTACGTAAGCCATATTGATTATTAAGGTGCATTTTCAGCTGTGTCCGGATTAGCTTGTGGTTCTGTCCGCATCCGCACCACTGGATTTTGAGAACCCCAGCAATGTACCCTTCTGGTTTATGTACATGCTCTACGTTCCTGCACTTTACTTATTCCTGCACTTTAATTATTACAGTACCTTCGGTAAATGATAATATTCTTGCATTTCTGGTCTGATTATAACTGCATTGCAACTGTACTGGTTGGCACTCTGCATGATGACAATAAAATTAATCGAATGTAATCTAATGAACTCTGCAAGAATTTATCATTATTAATTTTTTATTACTATACAGTGCAAAAAACCATTTATACATCCATTTACCTTCTTCACGGGAATACCAGCTTGTTTCCCAGAAATTGAGCTTTTAGGCCAGATAATTTACATGGTTGACTCAAAACAGAACTCAGAGTTAGCTCAGTAGTCATGTAAATAGTTAATTCAGACGGTTATTTAACTTGTTCAGCAGCATTATTTACACTGATCATTTTCGACAATTGAGATGCTTGAATCCTACCAATGATTTTACATCTGGAAAGTAAAACATTATTTTTTACAGTACAGAAATGGACAAGAAGTAGATTGTACCATCAAGTCCATTTCTGTACCTTAAAAGCTACAATTTCTTACAGCTAAAGGGAATAACAGGTAGACCTTTGAGGATACAGCCCCAGTGACATCAAAATTACACATTTTTACCCTTTTTTCTGAGAGTGTAGATACAAGGTGCTTTTTGACTCCTCAGTAAGTGTGTGGGCTTACACCGTATGCTTCTCAAATTATGCAATTTGTCTGTTTTTTTCTGGCAGGTAGCTTCTGTGCTTCATGGCAGTATTGTTTTGTACTGAATATGTTCTTCCAGAACTTTATTTGTTTTTGTTCGGTACTTGGTGGGATCTTCTGCTCAAGCTACAGATGTTGCCTGCTTAATGCAGTCCTCCTTCAGTTAGCATGGTGATTTGACTGTTCTCATATGTTGCTCTTGCTGTTTAACTGGATCTCTGTAGCATCGACCGCATCACGGGAGTAGACCTCCGGGGAAGTTCGGACCACGCTAGAGAAGGAAACGCTCACCTGTTTCTTTAGGATCTTCATGATTTTCCGTTTGTAGCCCTTGCAGGCAAAGAAATAAATGAACGGGTCAAGGCAGGTGTTGAAATTCATGAGGCAGACCGTGACATGCAGAGAGACTTGAAAGGTGAACAACTCTTGGCAGTCTGGGGTGTAGATGAGCTTTCGGATCATGTACTGCAAGATGTCAATGTGATAAGGGCTGTAGCACACAGTGAAAACCAGCATGACACAGCAGATGACGCCAATGGCTTTTTTGTTTCGGCCAGATTTTCCAGTCAGGTGATTACTCTTGGCTGCAATGTATAACTTCCGGGACAAGACAGAGTAACACACCAGTATGGTCATCACTGGGATGCCATAGCCCAAGAAGACTGCTCCAATCAACATATATGGCAGGTTTTCCATTTTCTCATAGTTAGGGTACTCCATGCAGGTCACATACTCATCCTTCTCCTTATTTGTCATTGGATTGAACAGCAGTGGCAGAGTTTGAGCCAAAACCAAAATCCAGACAGCGATGCAGATATACTTGACGTTTTGTACCTTCCGGAAGCGGCTGTAGCGCAGCGGCAACACTACAGCAATGAAGCGGTCTACACTCAGGCACGTCATGAAGTTGACCCCAGCATAGGTGTTGATGTAGAAGATGAGGCCAAACACCTTGCAGAGGGCGCCACCTAGGGGCCAGTGGAAGCCCATCCCGTAGTACATAATGCGCAGTGGCAAAGAAAGCGTGAAGAGGATGTCTGATATTGCCAAGTTAGTGGAGTAGAGTGTGGTGGAATTTATCTTCTTCAAGTTAGGCCAGATTACATGCAGGGCAAGCAGGTTCCCCAGTAATCCCACAATGAAAACGATGGAATAGTGGAGCGACATCAGGATTTTGGCGGTGTGCCGGTGGTCATACAGGTTTGTGCATTCTCCCTCAACTGAGGAGTTGGTGCTCATGTTCCCCCGCAGTACCTCCATGTCTAAGATCTGCAGGAAAAAAGAAGTGTCAGTTAGGGATGTAACGATATCAAAAACCCTCAGTGCGATAATATCACGATAAGTCCACAGTGTGATAATATCACGATAACAAGTCCACAGTGTGATATTTAGCTTCATATTAAAATATGAAGAAAAATGATCATTTGAAAAAATGTCCTTTATTAAATAATAAATCAGCATTTTTTTATTTGTACAAAATCTGTTTTTCCTTTTAACTTTAAATGCCTCTGTTTTCCTTCTTTAATAAAATTATTTGGATGAACACTAATGTCATAATTTTATCAACACACTTCAGGAAGTTTTGTTCTCAAGATGTTTTCATTTCTCGTCACGATGGCAGCAACATATAATGACGTCTTGGACCTTTGTAAGCTCAAATGTTCTTCTTGATTTGAGTGTGTTTGTATCTTGTTTTTATGGACATAAATGTTGCATGCTGCTTCTCCCATTCCTCCAAACATCCCTAACCTTTTCTCATGCATTGCCTCTTTGGCTTTGAATTAGTCTGTAATATAAAAGTAAAAACAGGAAAAAATATCGCTGATGAAATGCAGAACAGATGAACCCTAATTCTCTGTTATTGGATCTTCATCTGTTTTCCTCATGTGACTGATGCTGTCTGCCTGCACCCGTGAAACTTTTATGCTTTGAAGATGTTTGTCAGTTCACTTATTTCAGCAGTAGATATTTGCCGCCCAAACCAAGTGCAAACATAAATGCATCAAAGATCGAAAGTGTGTGATCATTTACACAATTAAAAAGTATATTCCTTCATGCACACTTTCAGTAGGACGTTTACAAGAACCTGAAGCATAATGCTAATTTAGCAGCAGTGGTATGTTCAGATCCTGAGATAAATTTTCTGTTGAAATCTGATAGCCAGGTGATTTCTAGTGTAGCATGAGACATACTGAGTAACTTCTTACTGGGGTGAATTTCCACACACACACAGAGACACACAAACAGAAGTAGGCAGGCACCCATATGAGCTCTGCACTGTTGTAGCTGCTGCTTAATACACACCCTTTGATGGGCAGAGTAAAGTTCTCTCCTAAGCAGAATAGAAGCAGAACATAGTTCTTTTTCCACGTGTGAATGAAAATGTAGATTTCTTACATGATTTTAATTTATGACATTGCAATATGTTATATACTAAATGCATTTTTACTTAAGCTTCTGTGATTTTCACCAAGAGCAGAAAAGAACTCAGTTAGGATCTTCGTTTTAGTTTTATTTTCCTCTTAACAGAAAGCATGTTGAGAAACTGGTGCGTCACTACAGTTTAACATTGTGGATGTCACCAGTTTGCAGTTGTGGTGTCTAGACTTGCTCCAGTAAACATTACAAGTAGCTTCAATTCTATTGCCACAGCACATTCTGTAAGTAGTGAACCTTTGCTTATTTGGCAGGTTAGAATACTCCAAAAATGAATAAAGGTAGATTTCCTGTGATGTATCTCTGACTCAAAACCATTGTTCTATATCTAGGTTTTACAGTAAATAGGTTAAAGCATCACTACTTGAACTGTTGAACTGTTGTTTGTGCAAAAACAATTACCTCCAAAATGAACTTATTAAGCTATTTTGTCCAGGGTTTTATTTCCTCACAATATAATGATTTGTTTATCAGTATCAGTTTTTTAATTTTATTGCAGACGTTACATTGTCAAAACTCAAATTTGAGTCAAGAAAATAAAAATGTTAACATCCTGTCCTTATATAATGAAGTATTGAAGTACAAAATGTTTTTTTCAATTAAGTACTATTTCTAAAAACATAATTTATTTTTTTTAATTTACGTGAAACATTTTTATAATTACATACAATTTTATTGTAGTAAAAGCAACAGAAGCAGTTTGCTTTCAAATTTGCTGAATACATTTTGGTTCAGTTCACTCGAGAAATTCGGAAAATTGTACTTACCAAATCAAAAAAAAAAAACAAAAACTTTTTTTTTTCTTTAATACCGTTGTGAAATACTGGTGTTGAGGAAAAAAATTAGCCTTCACATGGTCTAGAGAAGCTGTTCACTCTGCCCAAGTCAAACCACGTTATGTCTGCGCTGTCTGTCCACTATGAAATAGAGAAGTGTGATCCCTCTCTTTTGTGAGTAACTATGGTGACTGACGTCATTTCCTCCGTGGTTCACTTTTTCCTTGATTGTTAAAGCTTTCTTAGCTTTATAGGAAGTGAAATATTTTTAAAATATCTGTCTATTTAGTGCAGATTTACACCTATTTAAAAATTCCATAGTGTAGCATATATTCCATGTAATGGTATTGTTAATTTATTTCATTATTATTATTATTATTATTTATATTACTATTGATGAAAGCTCAGAAATTTTAACCACTGCAATGCAATGGGTCTGAAGACTGATGTTTACTGGCTTATCAGTTTTAGCACAAAATAGCAAAAGAAAAGATTTAAGTGATTTTTGACGTAGGTCTAGTGACCAGGTGCACCCATACGGATAATTCAGAAACCACAAGCGTATTTGGCACTTTCACATGTCGTGTCATAAGCTTATTTTAGAATAGTTCATTGCCTTAAGCCGATGACTGTTATATTGTCCCAAATTTCCCAAGAATTTTTTTAAGTAGGTAATGATGTCTATTTGTTGTGTGAATCAGACATGGTAGATTGAAGAATTTGGTGCTTGTGTGCATGCAGTGCTATCAGGAGCCAATGAACTCTATGAAATCCTGCAGCAGAATGGCTTTAATCGTGCTTTCTGTGCTCCCCCTATGCAGCCTGGGCCCAGTCTTTGCCCTCTTCGTGCCTTTCTACTGCTCTATTCCTCAAGTCCAAGTCACTCAGGTCTTCGGTCAGTTCTCAATCACAAACAAATCGCTGGTCTACATTGTAGGCCTACAGGTGAGTGCCAACATCTCTGTTCTATTTTAAGTCACAGTGTTTTGATTCTGCTTAACACAATTCTGTGCTGCAAACCAAGTTGAAAGCATGTGGTAATGAAAATCATATGTGAGCATGAAGAGAAACCCATTTGTGGTCTGAATTGGGATTGGGGTAGCTGAAATTTGAAGCGATTAAACTTATACCAATTCACTTTTACAGTGTCTCATAGAAGTATCACTGCACCCACTGGTTGGGTTATTTTGTTATATAATTTTGTTGTATATTTAAATGTTGTCACTATCATTACATTATTTTTATTCTGTTTTATCAATAACAAGCACAGAAAAGAATGAAGCAAATTCAACACATGAAGTATCGACAAAATATTTGTTGTTCTGTGAAATTTCGTTGAAAGTCATTTATTCTTTACCCCATTTCAACATGCTGCACCGTTTATCACTAGATCGTTCTTCCTGTTTTGCTAGTATAAGGCAAACCTGTCATGAAAATATGTTCCCACATGATCTGCCCATAAGTGTTACTCGTTATCTGTATCGATATGCAAAATGCTCTTACCACATAGTGTCTGACTTCATGAATCCCCCTCCCACTGTCTGTGCAGTGTTTCAGTATGAGACTAAATGAGGGAAAGTTTCTAGTAGACTGGGGTCTCAGGGTCTACTTCACCGTACATATTAAGCTTCCTGGTGAGTTCTAGAAACATAAGAATAGTCTATAAACATTCTGGGAGAATTGGTAGACTTGTGTGTAATAAATACAAAACATGCCGGCACATGGAAACAAGCTGTGTGTTCTATCCCTCCCTCTCAGTGCTCTCTCTGGGTCAGAGTGGAAGGAAGTGGTTCGTTTGTCACGCCACTCCCAGGTCCCGCTTTTGTTGTCCTTCCTTTTCGACTGTTTTTGTCTGTCATTAATACTGAAAGAAAAGGGTCCATGTTCCCGGAGCAAAACTGGGAGGCTGCTTTACTTAATGAGTTTTATAAATCATAAGTTTTCCTAACTTTAAATTCTGGGTTTTCACCTTCAAATGACTAATGTGGTGACAACATCATGATGGAAAATTACCCCTGAATGACAAATATCAATCATAATTTTTGCCTTTTCTCTTGGCACTAGACCGAAGGAAGGGAATACCCAAAATGGCACTTTACCAGCTCTGTGCTCCAAAATCCCTGCCTAAACTTTTTAGAAAACTAAGGTCCATCATTTTACACTGATGCATCACAGACCAGGTAGCCCTTTTTTATACAAATTAATGTTGCAGTGGTGATTGACTACATTCATTTTTCTTTTTCCAAGCTTTTAACGTCCAGTCCCTTCATGTGGATCATCTCTCTTAGCGGACTGGTAAGTAAGTTTGTCCTATTTGATTCCAGTTTTTTTTCTGTAGTTTTTAGTTATTTCTAATACTTTTTGTGCTTTGAATCATCAGTGATTCTCAACCTGGGCAAAAAAAAATAACTCACAAGCACCTGTTGGTAAATGTGCAGTGAATCGACTTACACAACAAAGCCTCACAATGAGTTAAATCTGCACTGCGATGTTACTCAGTGACACCTGTTTTTTTTGTCTTCCGGTGTACCTTTCCACCCACATGCCACATTTCTCACAAATTGTGCTTTGATTGGTTGCTAAGTTTAATTTGCTTGTAACGATTTAGACAGTTGTCCAGTTTATCTGTCCTTGAGATTACCACCTTTTGTCTAACAATTAGATGAGTTGTTCTGCAAAGGGATTGTCCTACCCTAGAAATTCCTCAGAACTGCCTGTCTTGTCTCTCTATGCTTCATCTTACCTTAACAGTATAGACCAGGGGTCACCAACCTTTTTGAAACTGAGAGCTACTTCACGGGTACCAAGCCATACGAAGGGCTACCAGTTCGAAACGCCCTCCTAAACTTATCTGAACTTCATGTATAATAAACATGTTTTAAATGCTTTTTTTAGATATTGGCATTTTCAAATCCATATAAATTCAAATGTGATGAAAGAAGAATAGCAACAGGATAAAATTAAATCTGAGATGCTGCTCACTGGTGAGTTGTGCTATTTTTAGAACAGGTCTGTGGGCGACTCATGTGGTCCTTGGGGGCGTCCTGGTGCCCACGGGCACCATGTTGGTGACCTCTGGTATAGATATTTGAGGCATTCATGATTGCTCTAAATCAGTATTTCTCAGTATCCTTAGGGATTCCCTGCAGAAGGTCCACTCACTTTTTTGCTTCCCCCCCCCCCAGCTCCTGGTAAAATGTGGACAGTTTGGGGGCCTCCGCGGACCGAGTTGACAAGTACTGATTTAAAGCATCTGTTTCACTATTTATTTATTTATTTTGAATTGATGAAGTGTTCTGAAAGTTATTCCACTATGGAACAACTGTAGGATGGCAACAGAAAGAAAAAAGAAACACATCAAACTCTCATCTCGCTTCTATAATTTTCATGTGAAAGCATACATTTCCGTTTTTTTAAAGACGTTTGGTTTTGAGATGCAGTTTACCAGCCGCTGAGGTTAGTATTCTGAAAGGTCAAGATTTTACAGGATGACGACGATTTTGCCATTTGACTTGCTCAGCTTCCAGATCCGACAGTCGATATTAAGCGCTGTTAAAGTCTAGCCGTACAACTGTATTGTGCAGTTAATGAAGGTTTATGATGCCAAGCAAATAGCAATGAATAAAAAAAGTCTTCAGTCTAGTTAGTTCATATTCCCCACGAATAAATCTGATGAGCTTGGTCCCCCACGATTAAATTTGGCATGAATTTGCTGGGGGGTTTGGGGGGGCGGGGTGTGTGTCGGATCTTGTGAGGGTGACACTGGTTCTAGTTAGAAGAATGACGTCATAACGTTTTTCAACTCTGTGGAAAACAAAAGATTGATCTGCCGGTCAGATTTATTGATGAATTAAAATGTCACAGGCCTCGTGGGCTGATACTGTGAGACCACTTCTAAGGAGAGTTGCCACCCATCGATTTCTTTCATATTTTCAAACCTGATGTTTGATACTCACAATCCCCCCCCCCCACCCCCCTTTCCCCACTTGGCAAATTTTATCATCAGCAATCTGGGGGTGGGGGGGGGTTTGGAGGCATCCCTTATTTATTGAGATTGGTGAATGAGCTGATGTAATTCAATAGAATATTCCCCGTTATTGGAGAAATTATTTCTTTAGCTCTAGTGCTGCTAACTTTTATCTTTTTGATATAAAGTTTAAATATCAGACATGCAATCAGCCGAGATTGACACATCAGACCAATACCAATACCTTGATTTTTACAAATATGTTAACTAATATATTGTGCATCTCTAAATGCAGTGTGTTAGCTACACACTATCTGGAGAGAAACCTGTTAGAAATAATATTTTGCTACTCTGTTTACAGCAATGGATTCTTATTCTGTGATTATGAAACTTTTTTGATTCTCTGACATTGGTTCCATCTGGACTTGTGTGGTAAAGCACCCTTCGGCAAACCTAGCAATTTTAGCAGTTAGGTTCAAATTTACTACATAATACAGTAATACACATGTAAATTGGGTAGGATAGTTTCCACCAAAGCCGAATTTGGTCATTCTCGAGAAATGGACTATCTACGGAATCTATTAATTTCTGAAGCCCGTGGTTAGTTTCCAGCGTTGGGTGAGTAACTCACAAAAGTAATCCATTAAAGACAAAAGGTGGAAAGTTGAGTATATAAAGAGTCACAGTCCTAGAGTACTCAACTGGTTGGTTGAAAAAAAGCCTTGGTCTGGATTTGAACTTTCTGGACCTGAAATCTCCACCTCTGTCTGTAATGGATTACTTTTGTGAGTAACTTACCCAACACTGTTAGTGTCATGACAGAGCTATAGCCAGACAACTGGTTGCAAATCATAAAAGACTGGATGCCTCTGAGTCCTTGTCACCTTCTTGCTGACTGTCAACCTGACAGTAAAATAAACTTGTTAGTCTTCACTACGACCTCAACTGAAAAACGGTCTTTACCACCTTTTCTACACAGGAAATGACATTGCATGAATTCTGCTATTGCCACAACATTTTAGAGTAGCACTACATTTTAAAGTAAAGTCATTCAAACATGCAACAAAAGGATGTATTTATCTGTATAGTAAACGTGATTATTTCAGGTTAAGCAATAACCTATTTTGCCTTAAATGTTCATTTGAGCAATTTTAGTGGATCGAGAAGTAGTTCTGAAGTAGCCTAGCGGTTTTCACACGTTTTTCAAATGCAAATTTCCTTTGTGCATGAGGAAACAACTACACTTTTGAAACCCATTTTATGAGCTATTTTTTTAGTGCCAATATGTTTTATAGACTCTGTAGTTATTTTTTTCTATTGTCTACTATATAATATTGTACGATAAATGTTTATAATACAGTAAAGGAATTCTGCATTTAACAATTTAGTAATTCAACGTCCTTAATGTGGGTTATGTAATGACAAAAGAACTTAAGCACCCAGAAGTAATGGTCCAGTTTGGATGTAATTTGGTACATGTACAGGCCAGCGATGGGCATGTAAATCGTTCGATTTGCAAAGAACTGGCACATCTAGTCACCAGACACAGAGGATGCCTCATAGATGCATTAGACAGCATTACCAGCACTTGACAGAGTTTGATAGGGGTCACATTGTGGGTTTGCATGAGGCTGGGTGGTCGTATCGTGCAATTGCCCGGCATGTGGGGCATGCAGATGTCAGTCGCCCAATGTTGGGAGCGGTGGGCACGAGAGGGCACAAGAGGGCACCCACACACGTCATGAAGGTTCCGGTTGCTCAAGACAGACCACACCAAGGGAGGATCGTCGTGTTGTGCGCCAAGCATTACAGAACCTCATGACATCCGCACCTGTCATCTGGACACAGGTTTATATAACACCCCGTGTCGTCCCACACAGTGTCTCGACAACTGACGTCAGCCGGACAGGTTCACCGTCCCATGTGTAGGCTGCCGTTCACACCAGCGACACCATGACGGGTGGCATCATACCATATTCAGCGATACATATTGGTTCTGCATTACCATAAATAACTGTCGTATGCGCGTATGGTGGTGCCGAGGGGAGAGGACCAAGCCCGCCGATGTTGTGGAGAGACAGACCGGCGTTACTCCTTGCCTCATGGTGTGGGGAGCCATAGGGTATGACTTCAGGTCATCTCTGATAGTGATTTGAGGGACCCAGACAGCACAGCGCCACGCCAGTGACGTCCTGTGTCCTCATGTCTTACCCCTCCTGAGACAGAACCCTGGTACAGTCTTTCAACAAGACAACAACCATCCACACACAGCACGTGTGTCTATGGACTGTCTGCGTCATGTTGAGGTCCTCTCGTGACCAGCCAGGTCCCCCAATCTTTCCCCAATTGAACAGGGGTGGGATCAACTCGGATGTCAATTCAGACTTGGTGCCAATCTGCAGAATCTTGAGGGCCAGTTCCAACAGCTGTGCACTGACTTGCCACAGGAGAGGATACAACAGCTGTATGATTCCCTTCCACGGGGGGGCATGGGCCCAGCAGTGTGCCCATATGTGTTGTCCATTTGATCTGATATTATAATCGTTGTGATACAGTCACATGACCATTCACCACATGCAGATTCATTTCATTTCGACCTCTCTGCCTGGGTGCTTAATTTTTGTCGCTGAGTATATATTGCATGTCCCCAAGATGTGATAAAAACCTGTTCATCTGACATTGTGGGGACCATTTTTTTTAATAATGATCTGTGATTGAAATCAGAAAACTAAAAACACCTTTTATTTTGTTTGGTTACTTATGGCTAAGTTTAGGGCTGAGTATGGGTTAAGCTAATAGAAATGAATGGACAGTCCCCACAAAGATATTAGTACAGGTCTGTGTAACTCCGTTAACAAAACATTAGTAGTCTAGTGGTGTGGCCTTTGTAGAAGTTGATCCAGTGCTCAAACGTTTGTACAGTTATCTCAGCTCAGAAGGATTTTTGAACTCTGGTAGTGGCGTAGAGTCATTTTTTAAACGTAATTGTTATATATTATTGTTTTTGTGTTTGTTCTCTGTGTTGGTGTCAAGGGGTCAGGTGTGCTTTACCACAGAAACACGCTGAAGTTACAGCACCTCCTCCTGGTGCCTGGCTGGATGGCACGCTGCTGTTCCTATGTGACGCGTCCTCTGCTCTCTGCGTCGGAGCGCCCCCTGGAGGCCGGCCTTGGCATGGGCGCAACGTTAGACATCCAGCGCCAGCAGCGGATGGACATGCTGGACCATCAGATCCTCCTCTCCCAGTTTGCCCAGATGAGGAGGCCTCAGCAGCAGCAGGTATAGGCGCAGTGGACGTTTGGCCATGGCTGTGTCGCAGTGGCTTGGCTGATTTCCATGCCCAAGATTGCGCATGAAAGACTGATGACAGTGATGTGTTCCGATTATTTTAAGGGGGGGGGGCAGTAAAATAAAGGGCTGTCGCAAACTTCTTTCTGCTAAGTTTCTTGAACTGCATTTATACCCAGAGGTGTAAGACCCAGGGAGACTGGGCGAATGCATACGTCCCGGTTTTTTCATTTGGCTTCATTCACCCCCCCACACCACTACGGATATATATGCATCCAGTTCTGGGAAATAGAAATAATAGTTGCGCCACATATGCACATGTGGGAAACTATGTTTTACAATCATTTGGGGGGGGGGGGGGAGTTATTGTTGTTATTAGTCTTCCTAATAATCTGGATTAGCTTCAGAATGTTGGGGAAAGAGGCCAGTAGAGAAACGACGGCTTCTTTTCAGTTCCAGTTCTGAGATAGATAACAATCTGTGTGCATTCTGTAGCTTTTTGTCTGTGCTGGGTTGCATTTGACAGGAAAAGAGGAACTTATTCTCCGGTGCATACTCATGGTGCTCTGCTGTCTCTCCCAGACTGGGTTGTTTTTCTCATAACTGGACCCTTTGTGCGATTCTTTGTCTTCCACCTGGATGTTGTGACCTTCCTTTTCTGCTGAGCCCATCTGCGCTCAGATATGCCATTGTTATTATATATAACTGCATACACACACACACACATACACACACACATAAGGGTGTCACTAGGGCTGTTTTAGGGTGTATGTGGTCATGTTTGTCTGTGTGAGTGTCTGTCTGTCTGTCTTTCTGTCTGTCTTGGGAAGGATATAATACATGAGTGTGCAGATATAGGAGATTTTGGATCTTGTATCTCGATCTTGTCTTCTGGAGGGATGTGTTTTCAGCAGTAAAACCACAAATAAGTGAAGGGAAGCTGCACATTTCCTGCAGCGCTGGTCTGATGCTTCTGACTCACACTCGGCCTCAGTGATGATTAGCCTGTTATATTAGCCTGTGTGGCCCCCACATGCAGGAAGTAGCACTATGTGGCTCAATTCATTGAAAGTATGTAGCAATGATTTAGCCCAGCAAGTAGTGAATGTTTGCTTATTCTTTTCAGTTCGTTCCCTAATTACAGACACCAAGTGCTTGTAAGTTACTGTAAGTGATGTTTAAGACATCTGATTATGTCGCATTGCCGAAAAACCAGCTGTATAATCATGTGAGATGCAGGAGTGTACTTTTTAAGGTCTTTTAAAAGACTTTTTCTGCATCTTAAGTGAAATCACATTCAAAATGAATTGTAACAAAGTTTAAAATATATTGTAGCTAAGACCATTTACAACAGTCTGACAAATTTTTATGAAAGTTTTATTTATCTCTATGCCGTCAAAAAGGATATTTTAATCACCACAGTCTTCAGTCTTTAAAAAACAATAGGAAAAATCCATCCTCGTTCATTGTATAATGTAGCGAAGGACACATTTGGTGAAAGCTGATTTTTTTTTTGGTACAGGAACAGGATGCTGAACAGTCTGTTATTTAGAGTGAAGAATCATATTAAACTCCCTTTCAGCCACAAGGTTGCCAGGTGCACAAGCAAATGAGCTCACATTTCTCACTAGTCGTTTTTGCTTATTTCAGAGTGTGTGGCGCTTGCCCTCAACTTCCTAGCAAATGAACTCACTTTAAAATGTGTTGTGGATTATGCATTTTGCAGATAGGAAATTATGAAAGATAGTTCTCTGCATGGATATCCTTCTCTGACAGACTGTTTTGAAACTAAAATTCTGCATATCGCTTTCTTACGAAATGTTAGTGCTTAAATGTTTGTTCCAGATAGGTATATGGTAGAAATCTGTCTCTGCAAATAGAATGATTAAGTATTTGCACTGGATCTGAACACAAGTGACTTGTATTGTAATATTACTTTTGTTTTTGCTGTTTCTGTCTTTACTTGGTTTCTTAGTTGCTCTAGTTTTTTTGCCCTAACCCTGCAGCATTTTACAAGTCAAGATCATTTACACCGTTACATTGTCACAATGTGCATCAGCATTTGCATCCATGTTGGATTCTGCTGGTGTCTGGTGGTTAACATATGGAATGTTTTCCATTTAGGCTCACTTGATCAACTGGAGCCGGTTCTTCCCATCTCTTCGTCACAGAGGCCAGAACCAGAACTATGCACAGCCCCAGCAACCTGTGCAGGCATCACCGCCCAACCACGTTGACGTTGGCATGCCTGTGTCTGAGGAGCAGGTGAGCTAGGAAACAAGAAAATGATGTAATGTCATTGTAGCGTGATTTCACTAGCTTAGCATGCCATGCTAATCTTCTCATGTTCAGTTTTAGATTTACTAGCTCACTGCCAGGGTTTCGTTAACATGAGGAGCTATAAGTAGCTGCAGGATTCATTGCAACTAAGACACCAGAAAGGTTGGCGCCAAAAGCTGACAGCAATGAAAGGAAGTCACCAACTAGTCAGCTAAATTGAACAGGGCTCAACCACAGGAAAAGCCTAGCTGGTCATTGGTTATATATCCACACGCTATAATTTTGTGGTGTGACACGGATTTCTTGTATAAAGATCTTTCACACTTAGGTATTTCTGGGGATGCATAATTCATTGTATTTTCCGCATTTTATTTTTTCATCTCTCACATTCTCCCATAGCATTTTATATCTAAAACCACAGAGATGCTCTTGTCTAACAAGTAGGTCTGTAGTTGGACAGAAGTTTTCTTTGCTTTGATTCCAAGGTCTTGCCTTGGAACTGTGTGAAATCACACATCTGAACAGCCTTCCGCAATCTACATGCTACTAATCAGGAAATGCATGAAATATGTAGTTATTAATTGGTTTGAATTTCAGCCCCAGTAATATGACATGTAATATGTTTATTCAGCAGGTGCTTTTATCCAAAGGGACATATTTTTTTGTGAAAGGTGGGGTCATAGTCTTTTTGGGGAGGGGGGGTGGGGGGGGAGTTAAGAGCCTTGCCCAAGGGCCCAACAGTGAATCTGCTCTGTTGACCCTGAGAGTTGAACTGGCGACCTTTCGTTTGAACCCCAGAGTCAGCAGAATGATTTCATCATAGGATGCGTGAGTAAGGCACTTAATCCTTTGCTTCTCCAAGGGTGATCTGACCCATTAATTTTGGTGAGACTGCCTTTTAGTGTAAATACTTTGTTAGGTTCTTAAGTTTTTAGTTTTTAGACTCTGAAACTTTGGTATGACCAGAAAGAAAATTAATTTCAGGAAAAATGAAATTGGCTGTTTGGAACATGGGAAGAATTATGCATTAGAATCACAGTACTACAGGGTTTTAGCAAGTACATAAAAATTTAGAAGTAAAATGTCCTCCATATAGTAAAATTTAATAGTCAAATGTCATTTGAAATTTTCTCTTCCAAATACCAGGTCCCAACAACACAGTGCTGAGCAATGCCCTTATTGGTGTGTTGCCTATATTTTCTCGATACTGGATATTGGGATACACGTTTTAGGCAATGCATAAAACGTCATTACGATGTCTAATACGAACACTTTGACTGTTTTTCAAGATTTAGTTGAGCAAAAGAATTGGGGGGCAATTCTGCCACCTACTGGTAAAATAAAATACTGACTGTTTTCTGCCTTGCTGGAAGTCAGGGCTGAGAAAAAGCACTACATTGTGATGTTGATGCTTGTAGGATTTTTTTCATGTTTTGTCCTTTTGGGTATATGTTACCAAAGTCTGTCAGATGCATAATGAGTTTGTCTTATCTCTGTGGCCCTTTAGGTAGCAAGACTTGTGGAGATGGGATTTTCTAGATTGGATGCTTTGGAAGCCCTAAGAGCATCTAACAATGACATCAACATGGCCACTAACTTCCTGCTTCAGCATTGAAGTAGGGGAACAGCACCATCCCTAGCACTGGACAACTGCAATTATACTGGACATCCTTGGACAACATGTAACATGTAACAGATGCCCTCAGCTGTCCTGAGAGTGAGAGTGACTTTTATTCTGGAACTGATCTTGCTTCCCAATTCAGAATTGGTTTAGGGGGCGAGCTGAAGAGCATTTCCTCCTTAAGAACTCAGGAGTTTAGAAAGCTACATCCTTCAGGTTGAAGTCTTTAGGATTTAAATTTTTTTTTTCTTTCTCAAATGAACATCAACTATAACATGTAACTTTTTTTTTTATCGTAACTGGTCTACACAGTTGGCACGTATTAAATCCTAATGGTTTGAAATATTGAATGTGAAAAAAAAAGTCTGACTATAGCATTCTCAGCTTTTATGCTGTTTTGGCTGCAATAAAAACTTTTCTGCAAATCTTCAGATCATTCAGCTATTTCTGATTTTCCTTAAGTTATACATGGTACATGTGTGTTGTTTTTAATTTTTGTTACGCTTTATAATACTAAGTGGACTGAATGTATGGGGCTGGTTAGGAAGGTACTGTTATCAGTGCAAATTTTAATAATTTTTATTTAATCCAAAAATAAATGTAAAAATGACCAGCTTTGTAATTTTGACAGGGATTCGTGTACTTTTTTCTTAGTCTTTAGTTACAGGTTATAGAGATCAGGCAAAAGAGAACCTGCAAGATTTTTTGATTCCGTCTGAAAAATGCCCAAATGTTCCTTAAAAATTTCGGTAGTCATCATCTGTCTTCTGAATAACACTTTTATTTATACATGTCCTGAATGATGAATGAATGAACAATGAATGTCATCCTATCAGAGCAGAGTCTGTTCTTTTTTTATTACCTATTAAAAATTAAGCTTTTATGATAAGCCTATACTTTTGCCATTTTAGCTACTGAAATGGGAGTTACCTATATGGAACATTTTACAGTGTGTACATGCTTTTTTTGTCTGTAACAAAGCCTTTTGCAGTGACACGGCAGCTCAGTGGGTAGCAGTATTGCCTCATACTTCTTGTGGTGGAAATTTGAATCCCACCTTTTTTGGGGAGATCTGCTACTTCTCACTGAACTGCATGGGATTCCTCCTGAGACCACAGACATGCAGTTATTGCCAGTGCTGTATGATACAGTAGCTGGTGTGTGTCCGGGGTGTACACTCCGCTGTCTCTGACCAATGTGGGTGGTTGGCAGGTGGATGAGTTTCATCGTTTTTCATTCATAGTGATATAAAAATGCTCCAAAAATAATATATTGCATTTTAATATTTTAGTTCTCATTGTGACATGGTATCTTCTCTTGAGTCTGTCTGGTCCCAGAGAATAAGCACAGCTACCCTTATGATTATGTTTCGTTTTCTCTACATTTTTGGAAGAACCATCCTTCTGAATTTCCTAGGGTTTGTCATATACTTTAAAATGTGTTTTTTTGTCTTAATATTTTAATTTGCTGAGTGACTTCATCTATAACTTTCTGAAACCATAAGCGCGTTGCTTTTTTTCCAGCCTAACATGCAAGCAGTCGAGTTTCCTTCAAATTTCACTACAGCTTTCCTCACCTTTTATCCTCAGTCACAAATGAGCTTGTGAAATGCAATGCAATTTAATGTTTTTGTATTTTTCATCTTTATTTTATTTGCAGCATTGAAATATGGAATTACCTGAAGCTGTAGATCATATGTTGCGTTCATATGGTACTGTGGGGTAAATTCATCAGTTAATATGTTTGTTTTAATAAAATCAATTTCTCATTTAGAGCTTCTACTGAATATGCTCACAGCAGAGGTAAACAAAGTCACTTTTTGTATGAAAGTGGCCCATTCCTGTGAATAGCTGGAACATAAATGAGACAAAATAATTGTCCCAATACAGCAAAACGGTTCCCTTTACCTTTCATTGGACAAAATGTACCATCAAACATTCGTGTGAAACTTAAACGAAGCAAACAGCTGTTCAAAATGTTAGGAACACCAGTTATTCCAAATTCCTAATTTGCAATATTCATCCTTGGGTCACTAATCACTTTTGGTATCATGAAGTACTGTTCTCACGACTGCTTAGATAGCTGAATGGGGAAAAAGACAGAATGATGGAAAAGATTATCTCTCATGATAATCTAGTAAGTTTTGTTCTTGCAGACTTTCCATGGATGGAACCACATTCTCATCCTGCCAGCTTAGACAAAACATAAAAGCATATTTGCTTTTATTAAAAGAGTAAGAATAGAGCAGTGAATATTATATTGTTGAATATTATCTCAGACACTTTATAGTACCCAAATAATGTTTGTAGACCTATGGGTCTCTTTTAAGGTGTGAAAACATGTAAGATAATGTCTTGAAATTTAATGAAAATTAAGCATCAGTCTTGATGTGTAATAGTGGGTTTTCACTGACATATGATGTCTTCGAGGAACCATTATCCTCTTTTAATCTTAAAGCTAAGCAGTTGAATCATGTGGGCTGATCTTGGACTTTACTAAAGCAGTGACTAAAGTTCGTGTTATGTGGAATGTCCAGTGACTAGCTCAATGTTGACACCTATTAAACCTACAGTCTTATTAAAAGGGTAATTTCTTGGAAATATATTTTTACTGTTCTTGTCTGTGTTGACTTGATGCTTGCATTTTCTTTGTATTTTGGCTCTTGTGGACCTTTTGTAAATTGCACAGAAAAACTCACCCAGATTTAAAAGTTGACATGGATTTTATTTTGAACAGCAAAGTGGTGATTTATTTAATGTCACTGAAAAATATTTGAGTTGTTAAAGATATAAGAGTGTATCAATGTGTTTATATAAGTGTATCAGATGAACTTAAAAATAAATCATGAGTGATTGAAGGATAAATCTTGACTTGTCTGTAATTCATGGCGTTTTCCAAAATATGCACTTTATGTTCTTTTGCAGTTCAGGTAGTTGCAAGTAGTACATGCTGGAATGTTTTTTTTTATTTATTTTTTTTTTAAATCTAAGTTTTGCAATTGCAAGCAGTCTGCTGCATAGATTTTATCTTTCTAGCATTTAAAAGGATGAGACATAGGTGCTCACAGAAGTACAATCACAGCATAAACTACATCGAAATGTTGCTCAACATTCAGTTCTGTTGCAAAGAGAAGCACAGAAATATATGTTCAAAAATTCTAAGTGAATTGGAAAAACAAGGTGCAGTAAACAGATAAATCAATTTCAGAAGAGGTCGATTCTCCACATTTCTGTCCTGCTGGAGCTGCCCATGTCACAGTGGAGTGACTGTGAAGCGGAAACATCTGAGAGGACCAATGAAGAGAAGATCACCCTGCATTGTAACCCTAGACAGTTCTCTGCTTCCATTAAGTTACTGTAGTCTGACAACCTATGGGCCCCCGACTCCATACACTAACCACAAGGCCCAGAGGTTTTGCTGGCATAACCTATGCTCACTTGGGCTAAATGAGGCTGTGGCATGCAAACGTTAAGATCTATAAATACACAGGCACAGAAACGAAGCCTGTTTTGGGAGCTGCTTGTGCACCATCTGTTGCCAATTCAAGACGTGTTGATCTACCACAAGATCTGCAGTTCAGATGTAGAACAGGAAGCTAGAGAAGAGTGAAGCCCTGCTATCAGACTCGCATATCTCAGTCCACCTACACATTTTAGTACAAGACACCTGCCTGCAAGGCAGGACACTTTATCTCAAACTTTCCCTTATTTTCACATTCTTCTGGATCGTCAAAACACAGATAGAGAACAACATGTATTCTGAATCAGAGTCTGGTTTAGCTTAAACGTCATTATCAGCTATAGCAAACAATATAGTTTACATTCATATTCACATTTCTAGAATGCTGTCTTGCAATTGTAGATACATTTACATTTTTTAGTAGTTTTAAATGCCACCTATAGTGATATTTTTTCTAAATTAAATAATATTCAATCATATACTTTAGTTAGAAGCTGATGTGGTTAATGTATATTAAATGTTGTTCAGAGATTAATGGCAGACAAATTTATCATCATCAGTTTCAGTTTTTACCATTTTTGAGTGCTTAGGCAGTTTCTGTAATTAATTGCCCTTTCTTCTGTTCCCAGCCTTGAAATGAAATTTACTGTGAAAACTAAATATCTCTCCAGTTTCCCCCAACATGACTCAAAAGAGGAGAATAATCATTTTCAAAGAAAAATTATTCATTCGGTGACCTTCGAAATAACATTTTAAATTCAAAATGAAAGTTGAATTTTGGGATGCTCTTTCCTGATAGCAAAAAAGGTATTTAGTTGTTTGGCTAATTTTTTGGTTTTCCGGTCAGTTTTACATGAATGTAATTATTGGCTTCCATGTCAATTCTGCTTTAAGAAAGACAGTAATATGTATCTGTGTTGCTGGACACATGAACTCAATTTTATTTGCCACCAGGTGGTATAATATACAGACTTAGAAGTAAATGCAGCCAGGAATGAAAACATTGAACAGGATGAACAGGACACACAAAATAATAAAATCTCCAATATACAACATAATCAAAAGACATGTTTTGAATATTTTAATATCAGAATGCTCTTCCATGTCAATACCAATTTGTCTCTTTTTTTTTTTTTACTGGATATACATTGTACAAAGAAAGGTTTGAAAATACGTATTTTACAGATCAAGGGTATACATTTTAAGCAGTCAAGGTGTATGGTAATTAGTGAAAAGTCATGATGCTGTCCTTTAATTCTGCAAAAAAAGCTTACAATGTTATGTTCTACTTCTGTCAAGAAAAATACTCGCATTTTTTAATTAAGGTTGTAATGAAAGGAGAACAACTGGTCTAATATGAGACTTATGTGTTACTACTGCTGTATTCAAGCACAGTTCTGGTGGATGGGACAGAGGTGTTACGGTAACCCTTAATCAGGCTCAGAACTCTTTGTTTGTATGTCTTTATAGCAAAAAAGTAGATGACTGGGTCCAGGCAGCAGTTGAGGTTCATCATGGAAACGGTAACCTGCAGAGATAGCTTGAAAGCCCTCAGTTCCTTACAAGTGGGCTGTCTGAGCAACTTACGGACCATGAACTGCATGATATTGATGTGGTATGGGCTGAAGGACACTATAAATGTGAAGAGGATTAGCAGGGTGATGTGTTTGGCCCTGTGACTGCGTTGTGTGCGGCCCATCATGGAATTTTGCTTGCCACATCTCGAGAGCTTGCGGTTTATCTGGGTGTAGCAGCCAACGATCAGACCTAGAGGGATGCAGAAGCTGATGGTGCAGGCGGCAAGGAGTAGGTAAGGCACTAAGTGGGATCCGTCGAAGCTGAAGTATTCCATGCAGGTCCGTTTCCCGTTGTTGCTGCCGAGCATGGTTCTGAAGAGCAGGGGAGCGGTCTGGAGGAACACCAGAAGCCAGACCAGCATGCACACAGTCCGCACCACTTCCACCTTCCTGAATCGTATCAGTCTTTGCGGATGAACCATGGCTAGATAACGGTCCAGGCTGATGCAGGTCATGAACGCAATGCCGGCATAGGTGTTGGTGTAGAACACCACTGTGGTTATTCTGCACATGAGGTCCCCAAACGGCCAGTCGAATTCCCTTACATAGTAGGTAATTCTTCCAGGTAGGGCGAGGATGAACAGAGTGTCAGACAGCGCTAGGTTGATCAGGTACAAAGAGGTGGCATTGAATTTCTGCCGTTTTTTACAGGTGACCAAGAGGACCAGACTGTTGCCAGATACGCTAACCAGAAACACCAGAGTGTAGAAGATTGGATACAAGACTTGGGAATGCTTTGTAGAGATGAAAACATCACAAGTCTGGTTGAAGCTTATGTTATTGAAATTCATTTCAATCCAAGAAGAATTCATTGCGAATTCACTTAATTTCTATTAGAATACCTATATGAAGGACAAAACTTTGTAAGAACCTGTTTTGTTAGCACAAAGAGTAAAAGCATTCCATAAACTTTAAAACTATAATTGGAATAAAATATTAATTTAGTTCTATTAACACAATATCAGATTGTTAAATTAAAAACTAAAAAATTTACAAAGTATTAAAGTATGTATTATACCTGCTGTTGAGTCTGTTGACTGAACAAGGAGCCTTGTGTCTATCTTCACTGACAGCTGAAGCCCAACTGAGGAACCTTTCAACATCGCTAACGTCATAAACCAAACTCCCACACAGTACATCACAAGCCAGAATGTGTATCGCAATTGTATTTGAAATGTCGTGTGTGTGGAAGTCTTATTTGGATCTAACAGGTAAGTAATTGTATTTTATCTATTACGGGTCCAAGCAATTATGATGATGATGATGATGATTATTATAATTATAATTATAATAATTATTATTATTATTATTATTATTATTATTATTATTATTATTATTATTATTATTATATTTGACTTTACAGCCCTTAAGCTGGTCTTTACAAATTAACCGGGTCATAACCAGAGACCTGAGTATTACTTCAGATATTTTTTTTCTCAGAATATGCATAGTTCCTACCAGCATGATCTTTTATAGCTCTTTCACACTGTTCCTGGGCAGTGGCTCCAGGTTGTAACTGAATCCCTTCTTCAAGGTCCCGAATGCTCCTGTGACAACCGGCACAATTTTTGTGGCCCATGTTCGAAAAATTGCTGTCGCCAGATTTCTGTATTTGCTAAACTTCTCAGTTTCCTTTGTTAGAAGGTTAATGTTGCCTGGGGTCGCATCATTGATCAGGAGGCATGTTTTCGCTTTCCTGTCGCAGACCGTTACCTCAGCCAACATGGCTCTATTGCTGTTAATGACCATGTCTCACATAACTGTGATTGACGCATCGATGTTTGTGACTGTTTGTGGGTCGTGGTCAAGCCAGCGCTCAGGAATTTCATGGACGAGTTCCTTGCAGATCGACCCACTCAGATAGCTCGCCATTATGTTGTGCCTGTGAAGGTGTTCTGTAGGCATTTACACTGGACAACCAGCCATAACGTAGCTCATCAAACTGACTCTTTGCTCTTCAGCATGCTCTCTGTCAGCGGCTTCTCTAAAGGGGAGCCTGGTGAATCTTGCAGGTGGAATTGCTCTTTGACTTCAGCTGCAATTATTACTACTACTACTGCTACTATTACTAGAATTTCAAGCAATTTTACTGGGGTTCTAGCAACATGATGCAGTCTGGGGATCTTGTGGTCAGCAACCAATGCGGTCGTGAATTAATGCGGTCATGAACCCATGTGGTCGACAATGAGCCGGGCCCGTCAAGCAGCAGAAACGGTCTTCAAAAAATAGTGACTCATCTCAGGAATGTCTGCTTGTGAGGCATCGCACTGCATGCAAATGTGTATGATGTGTGTCTCATCTATTATACATCGGCTGTTTTATGACATCAATTTGGTCTTTAATTATGACATATTTTCCGAAAACACACACAACACTTTTACTGAGGTTGGTAATGGCTTAAAATTAGGAAAACTATCCCCTCCATTTTTGATCAACATTAAGTTTGCATACTGGGCAAACGGGTAAACAGAGGATCTAATATTTCCAGGTGGTAGTGTGTGCAAACCCTTTAACCCCCAACCCTGGGGTCCCTGCACATTTGCTATCCCTATGTTGTGACCCCCCAGCTACGGAGAGCAAGTTTCAAAAGATGGATGGATGTACCTTTCTGATAGTCATCTTGGTCTGATGTCCTTGCCGAGATTGCAGCTCTTGTACTTGATTGCTTCCACACATATTTTCACTGTTTGTAGAATGACCATGAAAATTTGTCGTGCTTTACATAGCAGTTCACTTTGATGTCATTTGGAAAATCTTTTGGTAACTGAGCATAAAACAGCACTTAATAACCAGAGAAATGAAGCCAAGCTTGCAGCACAGAAAGTAAGTAAATCACAAAAAGAAAGAATGGAAAGATATTTATAAGGAAGATGCTGAGAATCACGTGATTCACAACTTGTGTCCCACAGATGAAGCACCAATTATTAGGTCACAAAAGCAAGTTTTGCATGTTTTGCATAATTATGGAAAAAAGCTGAAATAGGACTACATATTGACATATTATATGTCATTAGAAGCATCTCAATTCGCAGAAGAGGATAGCACACAATATATACATAATATATATATGATATATATTTTGTGTGTTACTCTGTTAGTTAATCAGCACCATTATTTGTTGCTCACTTTGTCCACAGTATATATGTCAAATTGATAGAGAAATTACAATCAAACAACAGCTAGTGATGTGTATATTATCTTAGTTATTGTAACTTTAGTTATTGTAACTGTTGCCTCACTCTAAATTCTATTTTTGGTTTCCATATTCTAAGGGTCGTTCAGGGTACATTTCACTACATGTTGTACTTGTATAACCATGTATGTGACGAATAAAGTGTCTTCTATCACAAAGTTTGAACATTTGACTTACACCTCATGAGTTATTACACAAAATGCGGTTCGCTTTGTTACGACGCCCCCCTTTGGTTGAGACGTGCCATTTTTTGTCCTCAGAAGTCCTTAGGCTATACCCACCCTTAAAATTTCATGTTAAACTGTGGAATGGAGTAGAGGCCACAAAGCCATACGTTTAAAACAGGACACAGTTACCCACATTCACCTCCTGCTGATGGTGAACCCTACAAACTTCACATTTCAACAATTGACAGTTCAGGCTGCAGAGCCAGTTTTTCATTTTTGTTGTAGCACCTCCTATTGGTCAATCTGCATATGCAAAAAAATGCCGCATGTCAACCTACAGGGGGTGCTATACCTAAGTGAAATACCTTTCGGCGAATATCTAGTGAAGTTTAAGTGACATATTCAAAATTTGTGCATCATCCTCTTTTGTGAATTGAGATGCATCTAACGAGCGGCACAGTGGCGCAGTGGTTGGTGCCTGCTGCCTCACAGCACAAAGGTCCTGGTTTAGTCGGGTGTTGGACCTTCGGGTGTGGAATTCACGTGGGTTTCCGCCGGGAGCTCCGGTTTCCTCCCACAGTCCAAAAGTTTGTGCAGCAGGCTGATTGTCGTCTTTAAGTTGGCCCCGTAATTGTGTGCTGGCTCCTGCCCAGGGTTGGTTCCTGCCTGTGCCTGTTGTTCCCGGGATTGGCTCTGGTCCCCCTTGCGACCCCGGTTGCGACTAAGCGGTTACGGTGATGGATGGATGGATGGATGGATGGATGGATGGAGATGCATCTAATGGTATATAATATGTCCATATGCACTTAATTTTTTTTCCTTAATTACGCAAAATATGCTGAATGATTTGAATGATTGAGACAAAGTCTGTGTTACATGGTTTTTGAATACTTCCTACGAACAATTTTTCAAGTTATTATCAACGATATTTATCAAAAAGGATCGGCCGGTAGTAATATATAAATAAAATGAATAAATAATATTATTTCAAATGACTGAAATAGAATAATTAAAACTACGACTGAAGGAGGACAAAATATTCAATAGGTAGCGGAAATGGATAGGATAATGGTAGCAGCAATGGGTGCGATATTTTGAATCTATTAATATCTGCCAGTGCGGTTTCTAAGCTACTCAGCAAACCAAAGTAGCAGCGGAGAGCTCTGTAGGGTTTAGGTTATGGTAGAATGCACCATGGAGAACATGGGTATAGGGCAGAAAGTATACTTCTTTCTGCTGGTGTTTTTATTGCCTTGTTCCAACTTGAGAGACAGACAGCAATCAAATAATGTCCGGACTGAATTGTGTGCTTACTGATGCTTGCGCTTCAAAAAATGTATGGAGTGATACATAACTAAACTGAGTGAAAAGATTAATTTCAAACTTTCTTTTGATATGAACTATAGGGAATCTGATTTATATTTTACACTGTTTTTCCCTCAAATGTAGCAATGATAATTAAGTCTGATAGATAAGCTACCTCAGCAGATCATTCAGTTTTTTAATTGGTGAATTTTGCTCTCGTATGTCCTTCTTCAGGCTATATGTAGGAAATGAGTGTTACTCTATTAGATAATCAGCACCATTATTTGTCGCTCACTTTGTCAACAGTATGTATGTGAAATTGATGGAGAAATTACAATCAAACAACAGCTAGTGATGTATATGTGCCTTTGTACTAATATGATGAGTCAGCGTTACATATATTGATGTGATGTATACATAGTACCAGTCAATATCCTATTTTAAGAAGCATTTCATAGGTGGTGTTATTTTACAAGACAGTTCCTGCAAGTTGCCTTCATGTTTCCTTGCTCAACATTTGTCTGAAAGCCCTGAGGAGTTTAACCTGCTAACTTATTAGGGATTAGGGATGCCAACTTATCTGGCTGGTAATTTGTACCCGTTTGCCAGGTATGCAAACCTAATGTTCGTCCAAAAAGGAGGGAATAATTTTCCGGATTGTGAGCCATTACCAGCCTCACTAAGCATGTTCAATAATAAGAAAACATATCATAATAAAAGACCACAGTGATATCACAAGACAAACGAGACATAACAGACCAGACACACGTCACACAAGCTAGTGTGCAGTGCAACACCTTACAGCCAGACATTCTTGAGATGAGTCACCAGTTTCAGAAAAATGTTTCTACTTTTTTGATGGGGCCAGTACTGACTGTCTTGGCTTCCACCTGTGTTCTCTGTCGACCACAAGACTGTCCCCAACTGCCACCTATTGCTTGGATGTCAATATAATTACTTGCAATTTTAGTATAAAATTGTGTTTTTTATTAGACCTAAGTGTTTTTAGGATGTTAGGCTGAATTTTATGTTCTAGTTTGAGGGTGTCAGTTTAACATTGACATAAGATTTTAAATATTATTTCTTATTCATGATGTTTAATCATATATTTAAGTACTGTACATCTAAATCCGTAATATCTGATTTCTGTAAATCCTCTATAGGAAGACGACTACTTTCTAAATCTCTAAATTCACACACCTATGCTATGATAAAAACATATTCATTTTTAATTGTCAACGTGTAACTTGCACTACAAACAACCATACATTAATTATAAAACATTATATCTTATCAGTATGATAGATATATATCATCGTACACTGGTAAAAAGTGGAAAGATGAGTGTATATAAAATAGATTTAAATAGTTACAAAATAGTATCAAAAAGTATCAAAACAGTTTACAAACT